TGGCCCATGGGCCCCGCGTCGCTGAGGGTTCACTGGGAGTGTGCGCAGGCAGGGCTGTAGTGGTGGCTTCGGAGTAGGCTGATCTCCTGCACAACCGTTTGAGTCTAGAAGCCATCCTTGTTTGGATTTTGGCTACCGGGTCTTGGATTGAATATAGTCGGTACAGGTCTGCTGTAGGTGTGTGGCCGACGTGTGCAGGCTGATTGAGGACCGAGCGTATCTTGTGTGCATACCAGCCTCTAAGATGCCTGGCCGTCTCCTCCGTGAGGCCGACTTCGGGGAGTCCCGTGACCAAGGTGGCCCAAACAATGGTGAACCAGACCTTTAGCCTGGCCATTGGCCCCGCGGTGCGGCGATTGTAGACGAATCGCTTGACCTGCTGGAGCTTTTTGGCAGCCTCCGCTATGCGGAATCGCAGCGTCTGCATTTCAAAGTTCCCATAGGAAATTTGGATGCCCAGGTACTTGATTTGCGCCTCAAGTTTGTATGCAGGGAAGGATTTGTGCTTGCCCAGTCGCCAATGCCTCTGTAGTGTGCCCGTAGAGTCGGGAAGCCAGCAGGTGTGCTTCTGAAGCACGGCTTCCGCCTCTCTGCCGTTAAGCTTGACTAGTATGGCACATTTGGCCGGGTTGACGGCGTAATCCCAGTTTCGTCACCTCCGACAGAAGCTGTAGGATCATCTTGTGAGCAGCGTCCACGTCTGCTTTGCTGCGGATGGTGCGATGCATGGTGAAGTCGTCCGCGTAACCTGTAAAGTATCTGCGGACATTGTCCCAGCCAAATGTGTCTATCAGCCTATGAAGGAGGCGGCCTGTGAGCACGGAAAACAACGTGGGGGCCAGCTTGCAGCCTTGTTTGATGCCTGTGGTAGTTTCCACGTCCTTGTAGGTCCCCTGAGAATGAAGCCTGTATTTGGACCGATGATGAAGTCCATGTATGAGCTTCTGAAGCGGGGGATCCGCTCCTAGTTCATCTAGCAGGGACAAGATCTCACTGCGAGAAACGGTGTCGAACGCCTGTGACAGGTCTAGTGCGAAAGTGATGCCGCCGACTAGACCTACAGGACATTGTCCTCGCCCTCGCTGTTGATCCGCTCGGGTGAGATTCGCATTGCGACAGAGCTGCCTTGCTTCCCTCAAATGCTGAACCACTCTGCTCTGTGCGTCCGAAAGACCTCTCCCAGGGAGGTATGCAAACTGGGGCAGAGGCTTCATGTATGGCAGCGTAGAGGCTCCAGGAGCTCCTTGGCCGTGCCCGCCAGTCCTTTAGCATCCGGGCGAAGAATGCCCAGCGGCCTTAGTTGTGAAGGCTTGTCAGCCGGCTTGCCCGGTTTTGGGATTAAGCAGAGATCTGCGCGAGTCAGATCGTCGTCCAGTGACTGGTCCTGCGTCAGGCTTGAACAGTATTGTGAAAGCGCCGCAGAGACCGGCTGAGCGCAGAGCTTCCAGGCTGCGGCCGGTGCCGCTCCTTTCGGAACTGCCTTGCCAGGCTTGATCGAGGCAATATGTTTTGCTAACTTGGTCTGTGGCAATAGGGGCAGGAGTCCCGAATCAGACGGGAGCTGTGGGTGCGCCGCAAAGAGCTTAGTTGCATACTTCCCCAGTTCATCCAGTTCATTTGCAGGACTGAGCAGGAAGCCGTGCGCGTCCTTAAGCTGAGCTTTCAAAGCCGGTTTCCACGGCCGGAGGTGCTTAAGAGTCTGATATGCCAGGTGCTGATCGCCCTGGCTCAGAGCCTGATCAACCTCAGCAAGAAACCGTTTGGTCTGGTCCTTGCGAGCCTGCTTAGTCGCCTGTTTATGCTGATCACACAGCGTCTGCCGGGCTTCATCTTCCGGCGATGGCTCCGCACTGGGGTGAGCATTGCTCCCACGCGCCGAGCGCCACATGCCTCTGGCAAGGCACGTCTCCGGACTATCTGGCATTGCCACTGGGGTCTTAGGGAAAAACCTGGATGCGGCTTGGCCAAGGAGGCGATCCCATGACGCCGGCTGCATGTCCGGGGTGAGACGTGCTGTAACCCACTCGAGCATGTGCTGAGCTGGCAGCGTGTTGTCCCTGACAGCCGCTTGCAAAGCAGCGGTGTCATAATGATGCTGCTGTATCTGAGGGGCTGGCAGGTTCCAGTGCCGAACTGGTTTGACAGCTGCACTGATGGGCAAGTGCCCGCCTTTCTTCCAGCTTCCAAGCGGGAAAGCCGCCAGCGGCGTAAGAGTTTTTGGCAGCTCCTCCAGCAGAGACCTCCCTCGTAAGCACAAAGTCAATTTGAGTGTGCGTATCCCCTTGCTGAAACGTATGTGGCGGCTGAGGCCTCCACGTGTTGAGAGCAACCAAGCGATGATTGAGCAGAAAGTTGGTAAGCTCTGGCTCATCAGGTCTCGGTTCCTGTGGGCTAATGATCCCTGGACCAACCAGCCTAGGCTGCTTTTGCAAGGAGCTGTTGAACTCTCCTGCCAGGATGCTCGAGCGTGTCCCTGTGCGGCACGCGTTGCACGCATCTGCTAAGAGCCTTCAGGACATGTGCTCTGTCCTGACGATTGGTCTGTACCTGCTTGGCCGGTGACCAGACATGTTGGTACACAGCAACCAGGTTGATGCGGGCCCCGTGCCAGTCAAACCTGACTTCCAGCTCTCTGCCTATGACATGTTCCTGCCAGCGCACATTTTTGGGGAGTATGTGTGGGGACAGGAAGACCATAACCCCGTCTGCGCGAGTTGTTGAGGGCTCCTTGCGGGGTGGGGTCATCTTGTCGTCATTAGGCATTGCCTCTGCAGGTGACTGTTTGTGGGCCTTGCCCCCGCGTTGCTTTCGCCTAGAGGCCTTGGGATCAGCAGCTGATGCCGACGAGATGCAGTACCAGCCTGCAACACTAAATTCAGCTGTAGCCTGCCAGTGGGTTTCCTGCAGGACGAGCACATCGCAGGTAAGTTGTGCCTCAGTGGAGAGCCATGATTTGACCTCGGACCACTGTTGTTGGCCAAGATGGCCTGCATTCCATGACAGTATTCGGAGAGGCCTGGTTGCCTGCCCTGCTCGAGATCGTGGTGCAAAAGACTGCTTGAAGTCTGGCTGCGGTGGGAAGTTTCCCATGCGCCTGAGCAAAGTTGGGGTCAGAACCTGACCTCGGTAAGAGACAGGCTGCTGTCTGGCAGCCACCTGTCGGCAAACATGCTTGAAAGAATTCTTCCTGATCTGAGAATAATTTTGTGAGTGCACTGGGAGCAGCGCCATCCGCTATTTCGTCACAAGGCAAGCCGAGTGACTCCCTCCACCACGCGGCTAGTGGAAACCCTACCGCCTGCCCAGTGGGCCCGTGTTGAGACAGGGTACTGGGTCCAGGAATTGGGACCTGGCGGCTCAGACGCAAACTGTTGGCACATGGCACATGGCTCAGCGTGAGGAACCAACCCTTAGTCGTTCGGAGAGAGGCCTTTTTGAGACCTCTAGCAACGCAAGGTTGGAATCCAGAGCCTGTTCGAAAGCCAGCGCGAAACTTCCAAAACGTCTGAGCCGTGGCGGCTACTACTACTACTACTACTACTACTACTACTACTAAAACTACTTCTACTACTACTACTACTACTACTACTACTACTACTACTACTACTACTACTACTACTACTACTGCTACTGCTACTGCTACTACTACTACTTCTTCTACTACTGCTACTACTACTACGACTACTACTTCTACTACTACTACTACTACTACTACTACTACTACTACTACTGCTACTGTTACTCCCACTACTACTAAACTACTACACTACTACTTCTGCAGCTGCTACTACTAGTACTACTGCTACTACTACTATTACTACTACTACTACTTCTTCTACTACTACGACTTCTACAACAACTACTACTACGACTACTACTTCTACTACTACTACTACTACTACTACTACTACTACTACTGCTACTACTGTTACTCCCACTGTTCAAATACGAAACGCATTTTGCATTCCCCCCAAAAGCATATATAGCTCAAAAGTTCCAGTAGCGTGCTCACAGGAAATCGGTATATATCAAAAGCAATCTCGAAACGCATATGTATCAAAGTGTAATCAAATAAGATTCCAATCCAATATAAAATACATCACATACCGAACTCGCTCCACTCGCCCTATGTTTTGTGCAGTGGCGGAAATCGCAGAAGTAAGATCTGAAAGCATCTGGAATCTCGGTTTAAGCAAGGCCCCATTGGGACCCAGATAAACCAAGAAACCTCCTGGAGGGACTTTGTCCCCGAAGAAAAGCGCCAGCGAATGGTCCAGAGACATTCGTCCAGAATCGACCGCAACGACGTGTGGTCTGCGGAAGACAGAAGACTAGCTGTACCTATACGCGCACGCAGCTGCAAAGATGCATACTGAGAGCCGGCTCCCACAATAGGGAGTGGAGGGTGGGCAAATCAAAAAACGCAACAGCTCTCTCGTGAGCCGGCTTCGCTGCGGCATCCGATAAAGATGCGAAAAAGGGCTCCAAGAAAACATGACATGCCGCATGCAAAAAGGAGGGAATACAAAATCGCAACGGGCCCGCAGGCAAAAGCAAAATGGTTTGATATTTAAACAGGATCGAGTAAACACGATAACCGTTCAAATACGAAACGCATTTTGCATTCCCCCCAAAAGCATATATAGCTCAAAAGTTCCAGTAGCGTGCTCACAGGAAATCGGTATATATCAAAAGCAATCTCGAAACGCATATGTATCAAAGTGTAATCAAATAAGATTCCAATCCAATATAAAATACATCACATACCGAACTCGCTCCACTCGCCCTATGTTTTGTGCAGTGGCGGAAATCGCAGAAGTAAGATCTGAAAGCATCTGGAATCTCGGTTTAAGCAAGGCCCAAACAGCAACTGCCACAGCACAGAAACATAGGTGGAGGAATCGCCATGCACGCCCCACAATTAAGTGAGACGAACACCTATGGAAAAGAGGGTGCATGCATTCAGATTTCCGGAATCGTTCAGGCGCTCTGAACAGAGCTCATCGCGGCAGCTTCCAAAGCAGCTTGGCATCGGCTGGGAAAAGCCGCACATCATGACGTAGATCGAAGAAATCCGCGACTGTGAAGCGGTATCTGAAGTCGGGATTCCATGGTGCAGGCAAAGGGCTGACACCATCCCACCTGGACAGGAAATCAGCGTCAATGTTACGCTCACCCGCGATGTGTTGCACATCCAGACTGATCCCCATGCGAGTGCTTATCATCGCCACCAGTTGGGTAAAGAAACAAAGAGGCGACTTCGTCGTCAGAAGCTTCGCACAGATAGACTCCGCACCAGAATTGTCGCAGAACGATGGAACGCAAATTCTCATACGCCCGCCAGGGCACAGGTGCCCAAAGAGAAGCATGAGGCCCACTTGAGCCAATGTTTCCCAGCATGAGATGTCCTTCTGCGATTCGGAATGCAGCGGAAGTTCCAAGTACTTGAAGTCGGCCAGATCGTAACGCTCGGAGAACCACAAGGAATCCGAGCCCGGCAACGTGATGAAGCCGCCAATGCCGATCGAAGTACCCTGAGCACAAGCGTCAGCAGCCATGGTAGCATCAAGAGAGCACTGAGGAAGCATCAAACATTCGTGAAATTGATGTGAGCCGCACCAATCAAACCAGAATTGCAAAAGGCGCCTGCTCAGCACAGATAAGCGCCGAAAGCGAGATTGAGGATCCGCAATCCTCATCCATACCCGCTTGGAAGTAAGCGGAACTTTGGCCAAATCCGATTTCTTCCACAGTTCGATGTGCCGAGCACTCAGCAGCTTAGAGCCCACTGGGATAGCCGTGCCTGCTGGAGTGGAGATGAAAACCATCGCCTCTGACAAGCAAGGAGCCAACGATCCCCACCGAGATGGCTCAATGGAAAAGGACGTCCCCGGCGGCCTCGAAATGTCATCACACAAAGAAGAAAGCCAAGGACGAAGCTCCTTGTGAAGTTGCGTGATCCATTGAAGAAGGCCCAAAGCTTGTTGGATCAGCTTCAGCTCCACTCGGCCCGCAACCAGCAGGGGATTCAGCAGGCCGCGCAATTTCTCCCTTTTAGACTGCGGAACCCGAACAGTCCCAGCCCGATAAGACAACTGCCAGCCTATCCAAAGACAATCAGAACCCAGTTGTAATTTAGGCCACGACAACCTGATACCGAAAGCTGCTGCAAAGGCGAGAAGCAGACAAGCTGAGATGTCCAAGGCACCAGAGGCCATGGCTAATATCAAATCGTCCACGTACATGGACATGAAGTGAGCCAAGAACACCAGAAGATGCCATGTTCGCATAAAGAAGCCGGAAAGACGCTGCCACCAGTAGGCTGAGCAGCTCATGCCGAAGGGCATGACCCGATAGAAATAGGTCTTGCCGTTGCAAGTGATACCAGATAAACCACGGTCCCTCTCCTGCATGAGAATGGACTTGTGCGCCGCCTTAATATCTAAACTGAAAGAGCGAAGCTCGGATACTTGACCTCGAAGAGGATAGCTGGATTGCAAGTCGCCCAGGCCCGGCAAGTTGTAGCGTTCCGGAATGTGGCAAGCCGGGTTCACGCCAGATATTGTTTCATCAACCGTCAAGCGAGGGTTTTTGTCCGGCACGATCACAACGTTGAGTTTCCCAACGGCAACCTCTGGCCACCTGGAGCGAGCCTCCTCAAGTGCGACCTCCTCCAAGTAGCCGTTATCCAGTTCTTCTTGTATCAAGGACTCCAGAGTTTCTGGATTCTCGCGAGCTCCTTTCCAATTCTCTTGGCACTCCAGCAAAGGTTGCTCCTCCGAAGTTGTCGCCTCCGGCGCAGGAACAAAAACCCCGCTTCTCGGGATGTCCTTGAAGTAACCAGTAGGAGCGCCCGATTGGAGGCAAGCGAACAGAGTGTCGTCGGGATCTTCCAAGGCCTCTGACAGTTGCTGAAGTGCATTGAGAGTGTACGGCTGAAAAGGTTGAACAGACCAGTCCACCGGACGGCCCGTCGTGGCCACCAAGAACTCTGAAAAGATGGCCCGAAAGCTTTCAATCTCTCCCTCCGAAAACAATGGAGAATCCGACTTGGCCAGGACATGTTCGCGCAAGCGAATCGGGGCCTTCAACTCAAAAAGCTTCTGCGTCAGAGCATGCCTGACCTGCTGAAGTCTGTCAACCGTCCCATTCGGGGGAAAAGACCAGTCGGGGACCGAGTAGATGCCAGCCCCATCTTGATGCGCGAAAGGCATGTCGAAGCGACCTTTAGCAGGGATTAGCTGATATAGCTGAGACAGCTGGACATCCAAAGGATTTTCGCATGTCGAAAACAGTGGAAGAGCGGCCGATACATAAGCCTCCGCGAGCTTCGCGGGGAACTCAGATGTCTGTTGAGAGGCATAACCTCCGGACTCATCCCGAACCCCTGCAACAGGACGATGAGAGCCCTCAGCATGTGAGCAATCCTTGGCCAATCGCTGCATATCCCGAAAAGAGGTAGCGAAAGCCCAGCGTTTCGAGATATCCCAACCGTAAGCGCAAGCCGCTACCACAAGCACATCGGCATTGGCCTTCTGAAGCAGAATGCAGACCGCTTCTTCCAGCCAAAGCATGCTGTTTGCTGGATTTTCAAGGCTAAAATGCCCGCCAGCCTTGTAGGTGGCGTGCAGAAGCTCGACGGCACGCTCCATCAAAGTCCGGCTGGCGTCCACTCGCTCTTGTTCGGAAGAAGAAAGACCTGGGACCCCTGCCAAGTGTTCCGGGGTGCGCAAAGGCTTCGGACCAGGCCGGATAAGCTTGCACCTGGAATACTCCCGGCATGGTGGCGATGCATGAGCAGAGGTGACCGCTCCCGAAAAGCTCAATCGCAAAAGAGGTTCAAAAACCGAATCATCCAGAAGATCATGCTCCGAAGCCAACATTGTATCCACCGAAAGAACAGATACCCCAGCTTGCAAGAAAGCAGACGATAGTGGCCGCGCATGACCAGCAAACAGATCCAGGAAAAGATTCCCGCGCACCTTGGAAAGATCAAGCACTGAAGGTGGAGCCGGAAGAATCCCTGCCCCAGACAATTCTGAAGCGGCCGTTTGACATGAAGAATCTGGCAGCGGAAAGTGCAAATTCCGCAGCTGCTGCACATCACTAGCTGATACTCCCGGCAGTTGGGCCGAAGTATATGCTGTCAGGACCCACCGGTCCCCAGTCCAAGGCTCCGAACAATGTGGTAGGGAACCGTCGAAAGAGATCCCTGACCTTCGAGTGTTGAAAATGCAACCGCGCAATGTTTGATCAGCCTGAGCGTCCGTGGGAGGGACCCGAGGATGCTCCGGAAATGCCGAATCCGCGACCTGTATCCAGAGGCCCCCTTTGTCGAAAGCCCCCAAGCTGCAAGAGTGATTCAAAGAGCCTGGGGCATTGAAATCCGAATGAAGATGAGCGAATTCGTTGTGCGATATGCAGAAACTAGACCATGTCCCATCAGGGAAGACTGACTGTAAGAAAAGATTTACATACTCCACCAACTTGGGGTTTTCCAAGGTGAAGCGACAAAGGCCGCCAAGAGAGCCTGAGCGTACCCCGGCGTTGAAGTAGCTAGCATGGTTCCGGCCACCATCCAGAACCTTTGTCCGAAGCAACTGAGTTGATCCTGGACAGTGCTGTTGCAAAACGGATAGACATGTCTCCCAATCCAAATCTTGCTGAGAGCTGCTATGCACCAGCTCCGCGGCATCGAATCTGCCTGTCCTGACATCCGAGGAATCATCCGAGAGTCAGTGAGGCATAGCCTTATGCTGATGCGCCGGGTGCTTGCCCAAGCAAGGTCTGCCGTCTGGGCGCGGTACCGGACACAAATGCTCGAACTTGCAATCCGTGAAGGAACAGCCCTTAGCCGAAGAGTAGTCCCGGCACAGGAGACGAGTCTTACCTTTGTCCTCAAACTTCGTGATCCATTTTGCACCAGTTTGACCAGACTGACCCCCATTCGCACTTCGACCTTTGCCGCCGCCCTTCTGCTTGCCTTTGCCCCCAGGAAGCCTTCGAAGACCAGGTGGGATATCAAACTTTTTGGGCACCGCCACCCGGGACTGCAGCAACGAAGCCATGCCATGTCTCCCCTGATCTCCGTGTACTCTGTCAGAGCATCATCCAAGGACCAGCCATGAAGATTGACCAGATCGGCCATCTGGCACCATAGCTGACGATCTGCTTGCATGATTTCCTCAGCAAAAGGATTGCGAATGCCCGCCTCGCATTTTTGGGTCGCCAGTTTGATGAACTTGCGCTCAAACTTGCGAAGGCTCGCAAGGTGCGCGCCCTGAAGCATCGCTACAGCCACTGAAACCAAGCCCAAGATGCCCGAGAGATAATTCGCGCCAACTGCTCCAGCTGGTATTTCACGCTGGGGCACGTCGTCGTATATCAGCTCTTCTAACCGGGGCACCTTAGCTGGGCGCCGCAAGGCCAGGGAGTCTTGTTGGGCCTGGCTCATCCTGAGTTTCCACGGGATCCACCGCAGCTCTCCTTTTTGAACGACCTTAGCCACATAGGCTAGCAACCTGGCCGACGGATAATTGTCGGGATCTAAGATCTCCCCCGGGTAGCGGGCGTGAAACTGTTTCTGAAGAGACATCACACGCTCGCCTGAAAGCTTGGGGGGAAACTGTTCGGACCAGCTTGATGTAGAAAACCCCGAAGTGATGTCGTTCTCATCTTGGCGCTTGCCCTGACGAGCTGCTGACGACTGCTGACGGCAAGTCTCGTAAAGCAGTCGTAACGAAGACAGCAGAAGCAGGCGCTGAGCAGTGGAGGGCGGTTCCACGGCGCCCTCGAGCAGATCCTTGAGCGCCTCATCCAAAGCTGAGGAATCAGCCGCAATGCAGCCGAAAAGGCTGACATCAAACCCCGCGAGAATCCCATGGTAATCTGGCGGGACTTTGCACTGCTGCCAAGGCCACCAAAGCTTCGTTCAGCAGCGGAGGCAGAGCTTCTGGTTCGCCATCCGTCATCGCCCTAGCACAATGGCAACCAAAAGAAGCCAGCTACTAACCTGCATGAAATCTGGTGCCGGAGCCGGCAAGCCAAACGAGATCATGGGAAGCAAACTCACACTCGACATCACCGGCCGCGATACCGCCGGGACCGCATGGCAGCCGACGTACCCTGACTGGCTGCCCAAGACACCCTAAGCCACCCGGGCATAAACCGAAGTGAATTTCGATCACAGGACAATAGCTCCAAACCTGCCGCCCGCTGTGGAATCATTTGCCGCAACAACACTTGAACGTACTGCACATTCATGTTTCTCCAGCGCCTTTTCTGACATCCAAAATTGACGCCAAGTGTGCACTCTTCAGTCCCGGATGTGTACCGATCGCCCTTGCGCAGAAACAGTCCCCTCGATGCCCGGCTCGCTTGCCGACGCATGCGAGGATCGCCATACCCGACAGTGCAGTGCGCGAAAGAATCTGCTGGCCGACTGAAGCTGCCCCAGCCACCAACCTATGACACAAAAATCGCCTGACATGCTTTATGTCGGCAAAATCGGGGATTCGACGGAAGCTCAGGCCTGATCTTCATGTTGTGCGCCAAAGTGCCACATCTCGGCTTGACCCGAACAAGCTCACCGTCCTCGCGCTTCACCAAAACCCCATCACACCCGGAGCAGGGAGTGGCAGCATGAATGATGCCAGAAGATGTCTGAACCCAAATCTGCTCATCAGATTCCGAGAACCTATTGACTGCAGTCACTACCGCACCTTTCTTCTTGCACGAAGCCGAAGACGAAGAAGATGATGAAGAATCAATGTCCGAATCTGATGATTCCTGCTGTTCCTCGGGCTGAGGATGTGCCTGCGCTTGCTCCTGAGTCGGGGTACGCACTGAGGACGCCAATGAGCCAGCCTCCACCGGAAAGCGATGATGAGCAGGAGATGACGAGTAGGACCAGACCTTTGGTTCAATGGCTTGTTGCGCAGCTGGTTGCTGACCGCCGCGAGCCTGAGGGTTCAGCGGCATCCAATTGCTACGGACCCGATCCCAAAAGAGCTGTTGAAGGGAAAGTGCCCCATGTACATCATCCCTGCTATAAAGAAGAACGCAGCCATTCTGTCCGGTTCTGTGATGACCTTGAAGGCCTCTTTTGCGAAAAGACACCTGCAGTTGTGCCAACGCAGCCAATAGACAAGTCTTCAAGGAATGTAGAGTGTATGAGGAGGCCTCTGTGGGACTCATGCCAGCCAACACCAAAATCCCCCTGAATGCCGACAAAGCTTGCACGTAGCTCATGGGTTGCCATTCTGTTGAGCTGGAGATGAAGAATAAAGCATCCGGCACTGTCTCCCCAAAGCGCGAAACAATTGAATCCCATTCGGAGCCCAACAGAAAAAGGTTTTTGCACACCCAACTGTGATAGTAGGACCCTGAGTCGCCGTAGTAACCACAAGAAACGAAGCCAAATGGCATCCCCCGCCGGGATGACTTTGTTCGATATGAAATGGCCCTCACATTATCTTGAGCAGCTTGAATCGATGTCCATAAAATGTGTTGCGCATCGGAGAAGCGAAGGCTGGCCGATGCCGAAATGAGAATTGCGCCCAAAAATAATCTGAACCCCACGGAGCCCGACTCCAGTAGAAGAGCACGCTCACAGTAAGCCAAAACATAAATCGGAAGAGGAAGAGCCTCCTTTCTGTCGGAAGTAATGCGAGCCTCCACTCCAACCAAAAGACCTCCATAGAGATCTGGCAGGGCGAGCCCAAACGTCTTGGCGGCCCAGCGAACTGCCTTCAAACCATTGGTGACATGTGAGCCTGACTTGTGCATAGACAGAAGAGCATCGACCACTTCAAGCTGTCGAATAGACTCCCAGCGCACGTTCAAATCCTGTAATGTTCCCACGAACTTCAGCAGATGAGCCAAATATCGAACCAAAGTGTTTTCCGAAACCGACTTCAGCAGATTCTGCAACAGGGTTGAAGCGTGACGAGACTCCCCGAGCTCCTGCAACACTGAAGAAATCGTCTGTAACCATGGTTGAACCAGGGCCCACAACTTCAAGCACCTCTGCCAGACTTCAGCGTGCAACATCGCAGATGATTTGAAGCCCTCAGGAACCTGCAGGTGCCGTCCCAGCTGAGTCCACGACAGGCCCAATCGGAGCCTGATGCCTAACTGGTGCATGCCTGAAATAATCTGCAGCTCTGCGAGGGGCAGGAATGGGAGCAGGGGCCTCCCATATGTAGGGTGCTGAACGTCGAGGTCTAACCGCCGGCTGAGACAGAGGGTTCGGCGCAATCCAATTGCCCCGTGGTCTGCGAGCAGCTTCTGACAAGCGAACAGGATGATCAGCCCCCGACCGCGAGGGACGAACCACAGTCTGCAATGGCATAAGTGAATCGAAAGCCCCAATCACTCCTTCGGACGATGACTCCATTGAACTTCAACCCACAGACCAGCTAGCAAAGGGCGCCCCGCTCCACGAAGCGATGCAGATCGCCTGGCCAGCAGAAGAGTAAGAGACATGTGTAGAGTCACAATGCCAAAGCGCAGTTCCCCTTCCCGCTGACCAAAAGTGAAAAGGCAGCTGACCGCAATCACAAGCGTGTGTGCCAGAGCCCAGAAGTGCCTGGTACGCAGCATGAGGGAAACCCCCCCCTAAGAACAGGCCGCAATCCTAAAGCTGATGTGCCCATGTGCTCTGTTGGCAGTTGCGCAAGATAGCATGCTTCATAAAACGCATATCGCCTGAAGCACAGGTCTAAGCAAGAATGTGCACATGATTGCCGCGCTATGGTTCATTTGAGCCCGCCGATCGCGAAGAAGGAGTTTTCTCACCCCTGACGCCACAAGAGGCAATCAATCTCGATTGTCACGCATGATCGCAGGCTATCACTCTGTGCACCGCAAGAGAAGTCCCACAGAATCTTCTGTGATCGCCGTCAAAGTGCTGTCGCAACGATGCTTGGAGCACCACTACCGCAAAAGTCGCAACGATGCTTGGAGCACCACTACCGCAACACTCTACCGAAACTGCCATGCGACTGCCACCTTCCAGGAGGGCGATCGCATTGCCCCAAAACTGCAGCCTGCCTAGAGAGAGAGGCGAGCTTGCTTCCCGAGCACCGGCCGTGGCAATGATCAGTAAGGCCTCATCGAACAGCTCGGCGGCCTCTGCGAGCTCTCCGACGAAGCTGCTTCTTCACGTTCTTTGCAAAACGCCCGCAACGCACCAAGCGCAGAGCACGAAGCATGCGCATCTCACACACGTCAGCCCAGGAAGACGAAAAGGTTGGGCGGTCCCCACAGCTCTCCAGATGCATAACCAGGCCTCGAAGAAGGAAAGCGGGATAGCGTCCGCCTCTGCACATGTACGCGAAGCCGCATCCAGAAGCTGAGCCACTGTAGTAGACGAAGAAAAATCCACAAGGCATTCTGGAGATCCGTCTCGAACTACCTGTTAAGCTGCCATGTGTCCGAGTGTCCCAATGCAGCAGCTTGTCCGAGGAAGGTTCAGAAGTCGAAGCATTCTGCAGATTTCGCAGCCGGAACCAAAGCGAGGCATCATGGCGAGCAGGAGTGTCGCCCTCGTGAGCTGCTGTAGCCAAACTATGGCCGTAGGCCACCGCTATTGCCGTTGTCCGGGGTGACTCACACTGCACCACCGACATAGGGCTTTCAGACCGGGGGTTGGACCAAGGATCCCGAGAGCTCGCCACCAAGTTTGCCAGCCACGAAGATTGCTCCTCATCCGAGCCCTCCTGATGCGAATTGACAGAAGAGGCCATACTGTCACTACCGCCACAAATAAAGTCTCTGAAGGCGCCTGCGATCACCGTCAGCTAAATCGGCAATAGCCAGCAAGAGGACGCGCAAAGTGCGAGAGCTGTTTTGCAACTGTCCAGTCTCAGCGAAACCCAAGAAAAGCAGAATGTAGCTCGAACTCCTGGTGGCACCTACCACGTGGTGCAGCTCGGCACCAAGCACAGCAGATCTCCACCCCGTGACCTCAAGGCCCTCGTGCAATAAGACGAGTATCAGCCGCCTGCGTGGCACCGGAGCGGCCACGCGCATGGGCAGCCCCCGCAGGAGCGCCAAGAGGCCTAGTGCATTAACACCTAAGCTGCAAAGTGTTTGACGAAATTAGCAGCCGTACTAGCCTGCAAAGATGTGAATGTGTCACTGCCCAAATCAAAAAACGCAACAGCTCTCTCGTGAGCCGGCTTCGCTGCGGCATCCGATAAAGATGCGAAAAAGGGCTCCAAGAAAACATGACATGCCGCATGCAAAAAGGAGGGAATACAAAATCGCAACGGGCCCGCAGGCAAAAGCAAAATGGTTTGATATTTAAACAGGATCGAGTAAACACGATAACCACTACTACACTACTACACTACGACTTCTGCTGCTGCTACTACAAGTATTACTACCACTCCTACTATGCTACTCTCCCACTACTACTACTACTACTACTACTACTACTACGACTACTACTACTATTTCTGCTACTCCCACTCGACTTCTTTTTTGTGCTATTTCATTTCAACGCGAGCGTGCTGCACTTCGGATATGAAACACTTTCTTGTGTTCTGTGACAGATCCACCACGGTTCTCGCATGCTCCTGTGAGCTTTAATCTTCACTTCTCGCACGCTTTTCAGCACTTTTAACCGTCTTTAGCTTTCTCTTTCTTCTTGTTTGTCTGCTTGTTGTAAATGTCGTTGGCTTCTAGTCCTGCAAACGGAAAACTGCTAAACTGGCCGTTCTTTTTACAACAGTCTCACCTGCCAACTGCAACTCCTGCGCTCTCACTGCTTTCTATCTCGCGGTTCCGAGGTAGTTTGCTCGGCATGGCTCTTTTGGAGTTTTTGCAAAAGAACTTTGGCTTTTCGAGCCTTTTCTTTGAACACATTCGTTGTGCTTTTGTCGTGCAACTTACCTTTTGCTGTCGATGGCGTCGGGTCTTTCCGTCCGTTCAAAGACTCTTTTGCCTTTGGTTGAAACTCTTGGAAAGCCGTCCAGAGTTCCCACTCTCAAGAACCTTTCGCAATCTGTGGTCCATGCACAAAGTGAACATAAGGACCTCCGACTGCCAGCGCAGGCGGATCGATGGTGCTGGACTGCTGTCTGCCACAAAAGAGCTTGCATGTTCACCTGGCATTGCGCCTCTACTTTACTGTGATCGCCGTTGCAATCAGCCACGCTGAAAGTCTTCGAAAACTGCGCCACACATCAGGTCTTGTTTTCTCCAGCAGAAAGTGCAGTCCGGATCCCTACGTGTAATCTTGGTGCCGGAAATTTCCGCAGCGTGGAGCGTGTAGTATAACTGCGCAGAACGACTCCCTCCGTTTTGTCGTGGAAAACAGCTGAAATTTTGCGTGCAGCTTGTATGGAACGTAAGTAAAACCTGCATCTGTTTTGTCGCACAGTGTGGAGCGTGTACTATCTCTATCTAGAACTGCTACATTCGTTTTGTCGGGAAAACAGCAGAAATCTGGCGTGCAGCTACAATTCCCGGACTCTCTCTGGAAAGCAGCACTCCACTTTGTAGCAGCTACAAGGTTTCGAGACATAGGGTAGAATTCGATACTTGGAAGGCCTGTCGATTTTGAGGGCTGGAGGCCGTAGGGCTCGTGGCACAGAGAATCCCGCGGATATCTTTACCAAGAACTTGGATCTAGCCTCCACGCTTGTCCGCATGTTCCAGTTTTCAGAAACTGCCACAAGCTGTGTTCTGCCGGATTGCTAAGCAACAAGAGCTCGTATTACTCTTGGCTTGTTTATCGTCATTGTGGCACACTGGCTTGCCTACCGTCTTAAGGCGCACTCCACGCACCTGCCTCACTTGCACAGCTGCTTTGCTTTTTAGCTTTGCATTTGGCTTAATGCAAGCCGTTTTGACATCAACTGCAACTCCAGTTCGAGGCTGGTCCCCCCCCCCCCCGGGTTCAACCCAGGTTTGAACCTGGGTTTGAACCTGGGTTCCTCCCCCGGGGGGGGGGGGGGGGGGGGGGGAAACAACAACAACCCAGGGAACCTAGGTTTGGAACCTGGGTTAGAACCTGGGTTTAAACCTGGGTTTTAACCTGGGTTAGAACCTGGGTTCAACCCTGGGTTCAACCCAGGTTTAAACCCAGGTAAGAACCCAGGTTCGAACCC